TAGTTTCTGTTTGCTATGTGGGAAAATGGTAAATTGCATATAAGTAAGGTGAGAATAAGTAATAATGTTAGATGTTAATGAATGCAAACGGACCCCTTGCTACTCACTAATATTCTGTTACAACTTTGCTGTTAAAGTTGGACTTTGGTTGATGTTGTGAATCTCCTTTTCCAATCTATTCCCAACTGACTCGCAATTCAGGAGCTGACAAGATTCCACTGATAGGAACCAAAAATACAGTATAAAATATAATAATGAACTGGCCATATGCCTCTCAGGAGAGATGCTCGTACTGTGACAGAAATCTGTGATTCCATGAAGACCAGCACAATATATTAGGTGAAATATATTCTCAAAAGGCCTTTGATAACATATCAATTACATAATAAACTAATGAACAACTAGGTGACTGGCTAAAAGACAGAAAATAGAGTTCAAGGACATAGGTTCTCAAATCTGTGACAGAAGTGGGAAGTGGGATTCCATGAGGATTAGTGCTAGGACCCCTTGTTAACAATTAATGCAGTTTAAGTTTTTCTTACATGTGGCCATCGAAGGCTAGCATTTATTGCCCAGGCCTATTTGTCCTTGAGAAGCTGGTGGTGAACTGTCTCCTCCACTGCTGTAATTCACATGGTGCCGGTACACCCAAATGCTGAAAGGAGTGGAGTTCCCAGAATTTAACTCAGCAACATTGGAAAGAATGGTGATCTGTTTTTGGGGTTGAATTGTCAGGTGATGGGGTTCCCATGCATCTGTTCTCTCCTTTCTTGGGTTTGGAAGTGGTGTGGAAGAAGTCTGGGTGAGATTTTACATTTGTTCATTGGATGTGCGCATTGCTGGCTGGGCTAGCAGTTTGTAGTCTGTCCCCAATTTACCCTCAGAAGATGGTGATGAGCTGCCTTCTTGAAGTGCTCCAGCAGGGACACTTGCATTGCTTTATGGAGGGAGTTAGAGCATAGAACAGTAAAACACAGAAACAGGCCCTTGTCTGCACTGACCATGATGTCATTCTAAACTAAATCCATTTGCATGCACATGGTCCTTATCCCTGTATTTCTGCTTGTTCACGTACCTGTCTATATGCCTCTGAAACATGCTATTATATGTATTGCTACCACTTCCCCTGGCAGTGTGTTCCAGGCACCTGCATCCATGAGTTTTAAAAAAGAACTTGGCCCACACATCTCCTTTAAACTTTCCTAATCTCGCCTTAAACTTTTGCCCCCTAATATTTGACATTTCCACCTTGGTGGGGGGAAAAGACTACAATTATCCACCCTATCCATGCCCTTCATTTTATATACTTCTGTCAGGTCGGCCCTTAATCTCCGATGCTGTAACGAAAGCAATCCAAGCTTGTCCAACCTCTCCTGATAGCTAATACAACCAAACCGGGCAACAACCTGGTAAACTTCCTTTTGCATCTTTTCCAAAGCCTCCACAGCTTTTAATTCAGCTGTAACATGACTTGCCAATGTTTATACTTGGTGCCCTGACCAGTGAAGCCAAGCATGCCATATGTTGTCTTTCCCATCTTATCCACCTGTGTTGCCACTTTCATGGAGCTTTGGACTTACATCCAAATATCCTTCTGTATATCAATGCTCCTAAGAGTCTTGCCATTCCTTTTGCATTTGACCACCCAAAATGCATCACCTCATACTTGTCCGAATTAAACAGCACCTGCCATTTCTCCTGGTTTATCCTTTGACAGCCTTACTCACTATCCACAACTCCATCAATCATCCTCAGACTTATTAATCAGATCACCTAGATTTTCATCCAAATTATTTATATATTGTATCTATATTACAAACAACAATGGATCCAGCACTGATCCTTGCAGAACACCACTGGTCATTGAACTTCAGTTAGAAAAATACCTCTCCACAATTATGATTTGTCTTCTATGATCAAGCCAATTTTGGATCCACCTTACCAACTCACCTCTGATAAGATGTGACTTAATCTTTTGGACCAGCCTAGCTTGAGGGACCTTGTCAAACGCTTTAGTAAAATCCATTTAAACATTATCCAGTGCTCTACCCTCATCAATCATCTTTGTCACTTCCTCAAAAAACTTAATCAAATTTGAGAGACAAGATCACCCTCTCACAAAGCCATCCTGCCTATCCCTTCCTCATAAGTCCATTAGAGTCATACAGCATAGAAATAGGCCCTTTGCCCTATGCCAACTAACAAACGCCCAACTACAATAATCCCATTTATCTGTACTTTATCAATAACACACTGTCCCCTGCCATTTTAAGTACTCATTCAGATGCTTCTTAACTGTTGCACGAGTACCTGCCTCTGTCACCCTCTCCGAGGATGTTCCATATATTTACCACCCTCTGGGTGGGGGGGAAAAAAATTCTCATTCCCTCTAAATCACTTTTTCTGCACCTTAAAATTATGCTGTCTGGTCTTAGGCATGTCTGCTCTGTCTGTGCCTCTCATTCTTTTCCAAATGAATAAATCCTGTTCCTAAGAATCTTCTCCAGTAATCTCCCTACCACTGATGTAAGGTTTGCCTGTCTATAATTTCCTCTATTATCCCTGTTGACCTTCTTAAACAGAGGAACAATATTGGCTGATCTACGGTCTTCTGGGTCCTCTGCGTACCAATATCCATGTGCAAGGCCCAACTATTACTTCCCTTGCCTCTTTCAATATCCTGGGATAGATCTCATCAGGCCCTGGGGACTTATCTACTGTTTGTAGCCAATGGCATCATGTAGGATGTTTACAGAGTTGCTGGTGGATCCTTGGTGAATTTCTGCAGTGTATCTTGTAGATGATACATGCTGCTACCGCTATATGGCGTAGTAACTGTTTAAGCTGGTGCGTGGAGTGCCACTCAAGCAGATTGATTTTTCCTGGAAGGGGGTCAGTTTCTTTCATGTTGTTCAAGCTGCACTCATCCAGGTATGTGGAAAGTATTCCATCACCCACCTAACTTATGCCTTGTAGGTATCAATCCGGCATTGTGAAGGCAAATTACTTGTTACAGAATTTCCAGTCTACGTTCTCTTGTGACTACAGTATTTATGTGACTGGTCCAGTTTAAACTCTGGTCAGGGATGATGTTGATACTGGAGATTCAGCAGTGATGATACAGTTGAATGCCAAGGGATGATGGTTGGATTCTCTCTTGTCGAAGATGGTCTTTGCAACCAATTGTGTGGCACAAATGTTGCTTGCTATTTATTAGCCCACAACATAAGGAGGGCTCTTGCAGGATAATATCACTGGACTTTCTTTTTTTCTACTATGATACTTTGCAGGGAAGTGATGCCCTAGTGGTATTTATTGCTGGACTGTTAATTCAGAGACCCAGATAATGTTCTGGGGGCCCGGGTTCGAATCCCACCATGGCAGATGGTGGAATTTGAGTTCAGTAAATATCTGGAATTAAGAATCTAATGATGACCATGAATCCATTGCCAATTGTCAGAGGAAAAACCCATCTGGTTTACTAATGTCCTTTTAAGGAAGGAAACTGCCATCCTTACCTGGTCCGGCCTACATGTGACTCCAGACCCACAGCGATGTGATTGACTCTTAACTGCCCTCTGGGCGATTAGGGATGGGCAATAAATGCTGCTTAGCCAGCGATGCCCTCATCCCATGAATGAGTAAAGGATACGACTTAGCTCTTAGTTGGATGGACAAACCAGTACCAAGCTTTTTTTAAACTTCATAATGGTTTGGTAGGCTATATCAGTGGGCATTTGGTAGTCAGTTACATTGCTGTAGGTCTGAAGTCATACAGGCCAGACCAGGTAGGGAGAATTCTTTCCCTAAAGGACATCAATAAACCAGATGGGTTTTTACAACAACTACCAATTGTACACAGTCACTATAACTGAAACAACCTCTTGATTCCAGATATATTAATTAAATCTAAATTCCACCAGCTGGTGTGGTGGAATTTAAACCCATGTCCCCAAAACATTAGCCTGAGACTTTGGCTTACTAGTCCAGTGACACAGCATCATCTCACTGCCTTCCCTATATTCATACTGTTGGTTTAGACTTTGGAATCAAAAACACATTGTCTGAATTTTGGGCAACTTCAAGTTGGGAGGGATACTTGACGCAAATGAGGTTCCAACAAATTGCATGAAGTCATTGATAAACTTAACAAATGGGCTTTACAATTATTAAATAATATTCAACATTAAATTTTGGTACAGAAAACAAGAATCTAAGTAAGATATCAGCTAATGGACTTTGGAAAACAAATGCACAAATCACTGCAAATTGTGCTACAGGACAATAAGGCCATAATAGGTGGTGACCTTGAGGGGCTGGATTGTCTATTCCCACTCCTAATTCTTATGTAGCAATAGGAAACAAATCACCTGAGTTTACTTTTAGAGGAATAAAATTGGGAAGTAAAGATGCTGTGCTAAATTTCTGTTGAACTTTTGTTGAAGTACACTTAAGAGTACTGTTTTGGTTACCATGTTATTAAATGATGTAAAGGCACTGCAAAAGATAGAAAAATGATTTACACAAATGACTCCAGAACTCTGAAGTTAAATCCATTTGGAGTGGATGAAAAGTCCAGATCCCCCTTGTCACAAAACGCGTGGCTGTGCAGTAATTGCAGGGAAGAAATTCTGTGGTGTTAAGGAAAGTAAATCTGTTTGCCAAGAGTACTGTAAAATAATTCCTTAATTTACAGTTTTGAGAATTTTTTCCTATGGATAGGTTTTATTATCGGAAAAGTATTTCATAACATTTTGGTTTTTTTAAGTAAATGGTGAACTAAATAATTTAAAATACAAATAAACTTTAAAAAAAACAAATTGATGAAACCAAGCTGGGAAAAAGAAAAACAAATACCATTACTTCCATAATTTCCAACTAGTTATCAATCCTTTATATGTTTATTTGAAAAAGATGCAAGTTTTTCAACCTACAAACCAGCTTGTCTCTGTAAATTGAGGGTTGAGTAACCAATGAGAAAAATATTGATTTTCTTTCAGTTCACTGCAAAAAAGCACAAGCGTAATTCCTCTGAGCATCTCTGTGCTTCTTCATCATTGCTTCCACAGCATCCTGATCAAGTTAGTATTTTATTTTAATATAAATTATCCTGAATCACCCTTTAGAACAAATATCTCTTAAGTTTTTTTTGTGTTACTTTATAATTTCTAATTGTAGTTAATCTTAATGAACTTTATTCCTTTCACTAGTTGAACTTCATTTGAAATATAATTTTTTCTCCTCTGAAGGTTCATCTGTTTGATTTGGCATTTACGTTGTGATTGGCTAATTCTCATAATCATTTTGTATGATTAAATTACGGAGTCATGACTTGCAATTCATTAACGTATTGGAATGATTATTTCAGTTTCATTTCTGATGATTTATTGCCCTAGTAAATAACAAACAAGTTGGTGCTTTCTCTATGACGGTATAAATGTGTCTTTGATTATAGCAATTATGTAAACTTTGAGCTGAGCATACAGGCATTGGTAAAGTTGAGTTTGTTTGGCTACCAAGGAGAAAATGCATTTAAAAGCATTGGTATGAGTCAATGAAATGATGTATTTCCTTCCAATTTCTGATTGTGTTGTTTAGATGCAGGGAGATTTCAGCAGGTTTTAAGTTATGATGGGATTATGTAACTGTAATACAGGTATTTTTGAGTCTTATGCATGACAATTAGAATTGTGCTGTAGTGTGTAGAAATTAATCATTGTCCGAGTTGTATATCATACATAATACTGAAATTGTTCATTCATACCTAAGCAGTTTTTTGTAGTCTTAGTTGAAATTGAGTTTATTCATTCTTGATTTATTTACTAAATAATAAGTTCTCATTTTCTTTGTGTCATAGAGTCACACAGCATGGAAACAGTCTCTTTGGTCCAATTAGTCCATGCTGACCAGGTTCCCAAACTAATCCCACTTGCCTGCATTTGGTCCATATCCCTCCAAACCTTTCCTATTCATTATCCAAATTTCTTTTAAATATTGTAATTGTACCGGCATCCACCACTTCCTCTGGCTATTCATTCCACGCTCTGTTTTTAAAAAAAAAAAATTGTCCATCGTGTCCTTTTCAAAACTTTCTTCTCTCACCTTAAAAATATACCACCTAGTGTTGAACTCCCCAACCCTAGGAAAAAGACCCTTGCTACTCACCTTATCCATGTCCGTAATAATTTTATAAAACCTCTTTAAGGTCACCCCTAAACCTCCTACACTCCAGTGAAAAATGTCCCAGCATATTTCAATAACTCAAACACTTTATTCCTAGTAACACTCTGGTAAATCATTTCCAAATCCTCTCCAATTTAAGAATATCCTTCCTATAGCATGGCGACTGGAACTGCACACAGTACTCCAGAAGAGGCTTTAGCAATGTCCTCTACAACCTTAACATGATTTCCCAACTCCTATGCTCAAAGAAAAACCAAAAAGAACTCCAGTTGCTATAAATCAGGAACAAAAAGTTGCTGGAAAAGCCCAGCAGGCCTGGCAGCATCTGCAAAGAAAAATCAGAATTGAGGAAGGGTCACTGGACCCACAAAGTTAATTCTGAGTCTTCTTCACAGCTGCCACCAGACCTGCTGAGGTTCCCCAGTGACCCCTGCCCTTGTTCCTGTGGTCAAAGGTGTCCATAGTTGTAAAGTTAACTAATTTACAAATTCCATTGAATTGGATAAGCTTCCTATTTAACTGTATTGTATTGCAATTATATGGTAAAAAAGCTTACAATAATTTGTTTAGAAAATAATTATATTTTGAATTCATTTACCCAAGTAATGCATTGTAAAAAATATATTCATTATTGTAATTTTAAGCTATTAAGCAATTACTAGATTGATACCTGGAATAGCAGGTTTTCTTATGAGGATAGATTGGACAGGCTGGGCTCCTTTTCCACTGAAGATGAGAAGGGTGAGAGGTGATGTAGTTGAAGTGTATAACATACTGAGTGGTCTATACAATGTGGATATGGAAAAGATATTTCCTGTTGTGGGTCAGTGCAGAACAAGGCGGGAGTACTGTTTTAAAATTAGGGGTCTCCCTTTCTATAGGGAGTTGTATGAATCTAGAACTCTCTGCTTCTGGAGGTGAAAGCCATTGAATATTTTTATGACAGTGTTGCGAAGTTGGGTAGAGTATTTAATGTTTGTAAAATGATAGAGGGAAGAGTGTGTGGTCCCTTTAAAAGATGATGTGCTTTTTTTTAAGGCTTAGAGATTAAAAAAAGAAGTCTGCAGGCAGCAGCAGATGCATAGAGAGTTCTTGAAATTGAAACATGTATCAAAAGGCTGTACTGTTGGCAGGCAATGCAGCATTTTTACCAAGACAACAGGTTTTTGAATTTAGCCAATTAATTTAAACCAGATCCTAGATACCAAAACCCAATTAAATTTATATCTGATGGTTTTGACAACCTAGGACCAATCCTATTGTAAGAAATTAATATGTCATCAGGAGTATAAAAGAAGAGGACATTTGAAAGCTTGTGTTAGAGTCAACTGTCATCTGCCAAGAGAACAGCTCTCAGCTATAAAGAAAGAATCAGTGACTCTCTCAGAATTCTGTAAGCTCTCAGAAAGCCATCATCTAAACTGAAGGTACAGTGGCACTCTTAGCTAATATTCCTGACACAGGAATTCGACAGAAGAGGGCATTCCTGACTGGAAGACAGTTGAAAAACCATAGAACATTCAGGAAGACTTAGCCTGGCTGTAATTTCGAGAGATTAAGTTTTAATTTTTTAATTAATTTTTCTTACATAAGTGCGACTTGTATCTATTGGAACAGCATATCATTAGAATTCTGTTTCATTTGGAAATAGTAGGATTTGTTTGGTTTGTTAGTAGTTCTGTTAATTTCTTTACTGTTAAGAGTTTCATGAATAAACTGTTACTTGTTGTTTATAAAGTGAGTATCCGGGATTTCTTTCATTTAACTGCTGCTTTATTACAGATTGGCAGGGTGGTAATGACAGGTAGGTTATACAACATTTCACACTTCCTTTAAGAGATTACAAGGCAAGGCGAGTTTCTCTGGGTGTTTCGATTTTAGTTATCAGAGGGGGGTTGACCTCTCCTTCATAATAGATTGGAGGCTCAAGTCTGGGATCTGACTGGTTCATGTATGGGACCTGAACGGATTTGGACAGATTTGAACAGATTTGGATATGAAACGTTCCAGAAGATTTAAACCGACTTTGGGATTACTGTCCTAGATCTTTAAATAAATCTTAGGTGAGATGTGGAAAATTTGTTTAATTTTGGTTACTTGTGGTTGGTTAAATCAGAAGTGGGGGAAAATGGCTCTTAACATTGCTAAAGAGGTTCTGGGGCTTGAGGATGCTTGCCAAATTTGCCAAGAAAGTTTAGAAAGACAGCGGAAGGATGTACTTTTAGACTTAGCAAACAGGCTAGATTTAGATTTAGCTAGGGAAAAGAGGAAAGCTGAAGTTGTAGATGAGTTAGTCCAGCTTTTAGGTATACCACAGAAACAGGCAAGTGCAGTGGAGTTAGAAAAATTTAAATTGAAAATTAGACAATTGGAGTAAGAGAAAGGGATAAAGAGAGGGAAGAAGGGGAACTGAAATGGTTTGAATTATGGTTACAAGCAGAGGAAAGAAAAAAAGAGAGGAGAAAGAGAGAGAGAGTTTGAAATTCAGAAGTTGCAAATTAAACAAGAAAGTCAATTTAAAAGGATAGAAATGAAGATAGAAGATAGACTTAATGAGGAGGAGAGTGATGATGAGCAAACCCATCGTTGTCAATTACCTGGTAAGAATATGCACAAATATGTCAAAACATTCTATGAAAAAGATGTAGAAGCCTTTTTCATTTCCATTGAGAAATTGGCTAACCAGATGAATTGGCCAGAGACTGTGTGGATATTGTTAATTCAGACCATGTTGGTAGGTAAGGCTGTTAGATGAGGTGTCAAAAGAATATGAAGAAGTAAAACAGGCTCTCTTGAGTGCCTACAAATTAGTACCAGAAACAACGGTTCAGAAATACAAGGAAGGAACCAGATCAGACTTGCTTTGAGTTTCCAAGAATTAAACATAGTAACTGTGATAGATGGGTGAGAGCGTTAAAGATAGGAAAGACATATGAGGATTTTAAAGAGATTATCCTGCTGGAGGAGTTCAAAAACTCACTTCCGGAAGTGATAAGAACGTATGTTGAGGAACAGAAAGTTAAAACAGCGAGAAGAGCTGCAGAGATGGCGAATGAATATGCATTCAAGCATAAATCGATATCTAGCTTCCGACAGCAATTTCATTCCATGAGGGATAGAAATTGAGGGGAAAAAGGGAGGTCCTTCAATGAAAAACAAAAAACAAGAAAAGTCGAGGAACCGCAGGAGAGTGCACAGCCTATTCATAGGTGGATGGTAAGATAGTGCCCAATCTCTTCAAACACTTTACCTAAGTGGGTAAGATTTACCCAGGAAAAACAGGGGAGAAGGTAAAGAAGTTAAAATATTGAGAGACAGAGGAGATGGTCAGTCTCTAATAGTAAGAGATGTAAGTGTTTGCACTCCTTCTGAAGTTTTATCCGAGAGAGTGATAATCTGTGGAATAAATGGAGAGAGATTTAGTGTTCCCCTGTGTAAGATAAGGCTGGAAGGCACAGCCGAGACTGGGGAAGTGATAGTGGGAGTGATGCCCATTTTAGTGAAGAAGCTGGAAGAAAACCAGGGAACTGAAGAGTTAAAAGAAAAATACCCTGGAATTTTTTCCGGACTGTGCAGTGACAAGATCCCACAGTTAAAGCAAGAAGGGAAAACCAAAGAGAAAGACAAAGGAGTTGAGGTCGAGTTAGCTGACACCCTAGGCGGCACAGTGCCTCAGTGGTTAGCACTGCTGCCTCACAACACCAGACCTGAGTTCGATTCCACCCTTGGGCAACTGTCTGTGTGGAGTTTGCACATTCTCACAGTGTGTGTGGGTTTCCGCCGGGTGCTCAGGTTTCCTCCCACAGCCCAAAGATGTGCAGGCTCCGTGAATTGGCCATGCTAAATTGCCCATAGTGTCAGGGATAGGTAGGTTAGGTGTGTTAGCCATGGGAAATGC